AGTTACTTAAGAAATAGTTTTTCCAGTTGATTCACAAAAGATAAGCTTTATATTCTGATGCTTTCAGAAAACTATAATAAACCTAAGATGGTGACAAACCAACACTTCTATTTATAGTAGACAAGTATGCACTTTTCATTCTTTTCAAGAAGACATTCCAAGAAAGTCAAATATCTAGCCTTCTATTTTACAAAATTTATATACACCTATAAATCAGGACTAAATCATACTTATGATATGCAGTTTTCCATTTTCAATAAAGCAAATTGGAATATAAGAAGGCAATAAAAAAACATACAACAAAAAACGCATAAAAACTAAAACAACATGAGCTGAAAGGCAGGAAAATAAGAGTACCAGGGTCTCAAAACCAGACTTGAGTACCCGATATCAATGGTCAATTGTCTTTTTGAAGCACCAGCTAATGTGACCAAACGATGTACCGTTTCTTCTTTGATGTCTGCAATCAAGTTAGACAAGTGAAGATGTGAGGTATCGTCCCAGAACATGAGTCCATCTGAACCCAACTGGTGTTCAAGCACCTGTAACAGTCCTAACAGAAACTCACTAATTAACCACTTGGTTACCCAGGAGTCAGGACAACTCATGAGTGAGTGAGTGAGTATGGTTTTACGCCGCTGTTAGCAATATTCCAGCAATATCACGGCGGGGGACACCAGAAATGGGCTTCACACATTGTGCCCATGTCGGGAATCGAACCCAGGTCTTCGGCGTGACGAACTAACGCTTTAACCACTAGGCTACCCGACCGCCCCGACAACTCATGAGAGTCAATAGTTTAAGACTAACACATGCACAACTGCTTCACAAATCAAACTCTAAATTTCATAAGCAACTTCCTCTTGCTATAGGCCACCACGCTGATAAATTGACAAGCTGTGACACAGAGCTTAAAGGTATACCGGACCACTTCCTGCTATCAAGAAAAAAAACCAGTGCAGTGTCAGCAATCTGATAAATATAAATGTCAATAAAAGTTCTCAGTTTACAATAAGGCCTTTATCAACAAAAAATAATTATTAAATTTATCTAGATGTTTTTCACATTGTTGCTGATATTGCTGTTATTCCCCCAACCCATTTTGAAATGATTGCAATACATATACCGGTACTGTTGGGAATTAACTTGAGAGTAAAGTAACATTCTTCTCAGGCAAGGAACATAAGTGACTGCCCTCACTGCTTTATCCAAATCTGGTGCATCTCAGAGAGATGGTGTCAGAACTATGACTGATGCTATGGGACTACAGTTGTACAATGACACAGAATCTTGGCACTGAAACAACCACAAGGAGGCTAGAGAGAAGTATCCAATTATGTATGCCTAGATGTATATGGGAATTTCTTGTTGGACCTAGATGGTTCCAACAATTTGTCTACTTTGAGTGAGTGATAATTGCTTAACGTTGCATCAGCAATTTTGCAACTATTCATAGTGATAATTTGTCCAAAAGGTTAAGGGTTCAAGAACTTTTGTTATGTGTTTATATGGCATATTACATGCATACTGACGTGAACATGCAAATGCTGGAACTACCCAGGGTTCATGTATGTTCTGGTTACATGATGACACAAGACTGTGTAAACAAAATATCAGCAAATACTAATCAGTGATGCCCCATTAGTGTGGTGACATTTCCAATACAATTAATGTGATATCTGAGATATTAGGGTCTCTTTTTGAGACAATAAACTAACATCTACTGAAAATAATGCCAAAGGACAACTTCATGATAGTTGATAGCCACAGACTGAGGAGGTCATGTCATGTGCCAATATGTTCAATGATGTATTCACAAGAATAAAAACTAACCAGCAGCTGCATTCACGAAAAACTGACTTCTTGGGACAGCTTGAGGCTATTAAATCACAATAAACCCCCTCTGATTGAAACAGCTGGTTTTGACGGCCGCATCACCGCGGAAGCTAATATTCATAGAATAGTACTATTTTCAGTCATTGTCGGTAGGCATATTAAATAACTATATCTACAATTACAGGTTACAAAATGCGCAGATGCGGTTACTACAACATTCAAAGGATGTGTGGCAATACATTTCGTGCAGAAAAACACGACAGAAATGAACAAGGTAATGTATATACGTTTTGGAGACAACAGAGAGCTTGAAATTTTGGCGCTTTTCTATATACGACTGTGACGTCGTATCTTTTGCGTCACAATGAGCGATATGACGTCATAATGGTGACGCGTAATGTAGAGCGGAAGCCTTGCAAAGCTTGCTTTGCTTTCTTTAGGGATGCCCACCTCATGTTAGCTTACCAAGTTGCCGTGCTTATATGCTTTCAATGCCTGTCATATGTTCGAGTGAAGTATAACGGTATAAACAAACTGCTTGAGTATATACAGCATGATATTTTGTTCGGTGATTCCGTAATTCAGATTGATAACCCACTCAAAACATTGAACTCAACCCATGCCGCTTCACTCAGTATATTTGCTAACACCAAAGAGTTCGTGTTTTATTTAGTCATGGTAGAATGGAGGTAAACACACTGTGTTTTCAATGTAGAGCTAGGTTACCTGTAGATTTAACCGCGCTAAATTTAACATTTGAAACCTCACGCTGCGCGTTCGGTTCCAAATTCAATTTAGCGGGGTTAAATCTACAGGTAACCTAGCTCTACATTGAAAACACAGCATGTTTATCTCCTAAACGTACATCTAGTCTTTAGTTAATCATCGTTTTCAGAAGTAACATAACTACGCATAACAGCACTGGCACAGGCTAATTTGCATATCATGTGACTGTAATTTTCTCTCATTTTAAAACAAATGTTGAAATCAGAACAGACTGATGCTTTACATACTGTTTTGAATAATTATTTGCAACTAAAACTTCGACTGTGAGGTGCACAACAATATATATTCACACTTCAAAGTGATCATATCGCTACCTCTCCATACGGCTTCTACGACAGCATGTGATGTAAACAAACGAAAACAACGCAAATGGAAATAATTTGTCACATTTGGAGATATTTTCTCATTGAAAGTCAACCATGACATGTTTAGCTTGATATGTAGATTCGTTAAGAAATGAAACAGAAGAAAATAAGATCATTGTTGCATTGATAAATATGATTTGGTGCTGTAGCGGTATGTGGGAAAGCGGGCTCTATGGAACAGGGTGAACGGAAGTTGTAAGTATCGTAGGGACACGATTTCGCTGAAATTATTATGTAAACATCATTGAATGAAATTTTGAATAACATTGATAAAATAGATTACAAACATAAGTCCAGTTATACAATGAACACTTAAATAGTGTAACAAAAGGGTTTACTTGCGTATATTCAATACAGATTTTTTTACATTCTATGTCAGATGACAGATCATGACAGCAATATATACGACCGCCTGAAATGATACTAAAGAGAAAGTCTGTGCGTATTATACACGAAAGATATATTTTTCCAGAATTTAATAGCCCATAACTAAGGGTGCGCATAACACACGAGGGTGTATTACACTTGAATAAATAAGTTAATAATCGCAAGGGGCACTTATTGGGATTGTTCACTTACCAATATATTAGCAAATATTGCCATAGGCGCTTATTAGATCGGGGCGTCTAATAAGTAGTTATGGTTTTATTTTTCTGTTAGAAAATTGTGTGTTTATTAGATACTGACATGACATCCCAATTACATTGGCAGAGCGTCAGTTGGTACCTATCTCTGCAGAAAACAATGCCAGACATCAATTGCTGAAAGAGTTTGTGAAAAATATCCAGAAAACCTTTATTCAGTGGATCGAGACACAAACTCCAAACTCACTCACTGAAGCAGGAAGTCAATATTACAGAATATTTCCATATTATACAAAATGTCAGCAAAGTATCTGGTATTCTGCAGTCTTCAAAATCTATGATAATCACAAAATGAATAAAAGGGATCTATTGATAATGCACAAGTCAGCTTCTCTGGTATCAACGTGTGATCAGGCATGCCTGAGCTCCATTCTGCACACTTCTAAGACCAAGTCATGACATCACAGCATTTCACTGAAAGCTAGACCACACTCAGCACCCATTTTGTACCCAGGTGAGTACCCAGACAAGGCTCACACATCGACCAAGACCATGCCAAGATTGATTTCCATGCAGGTCCAATGCCATAGCTATACTGCTGACATATAATGTAACACACAATTCAAGAGAATAGTCATATTTCAACTGAATCATCAAACTGATATTGAATTACAGAGAGACACTGCTAGAATTTATTTTTTTTATACAAGAAGCTCATGAGACTACAGCCCTTATAAATCTTGTACATCATCAGTCATTTAAGAGGTTTTTTTAAGGGACATAATTGGGAGATAAACCTACTGTGTTTTGAAATTTGATGTAATCCCACTGTAGAGTAGACACCTCTTATTTTAATTTGGAACCAAATGTCTTCGTGCCAAACACATCCGATATCAAACTACCGTATTTCCTCTATTAAATGCTACGCGTTCTGTTGACTCGGCATGTATAAGAGAGCTGACTTGTATTAGAGACCCTGCGTGAAATAGAGGAAATATAGATATGTTTTAAGTTCATATTGGGGTGATCGATTGGCAGCCATTTCTTATGAATCGACATGTATAGGCTATGGATGTATTCATACGCACATTTTCTTGGTGAAAAGGCTTAACATATTTGAAAGGGGTTTCTGTAGCAAAAAGGAAACCTCTTTTTAACCAATCAGAATCAAGCATACATCAATGTCATGGTAGAATAACTAATCACCAACAGTTTAAAAAAGGCCACAAAACCCACATTAGTTGAAAAATTACTCATGCTGACAATGAAACTTTCACATCACTTGTTATAGCACAAGTAACTCAGGTTTGAAACAAAAATGATTGATAACCCAGAGTAGCTGCATGCTGGAGTTCAAATGTGTGTGAGATGAGACATGACTGATGCTGGCAGCATCTTGGTGTAAAGTATACTGCAAACTTGTACTTACTTTACCACTTTCTCTTCAGGCGATGACATCTTCAGGCCCAGTTTCTCCAGGAACTCATCAGGCAAACTTGGTGTGACCGAGTCCTGTGAAGGAGGGGGCGGGGTCAGGGTGTTCTCCGATAATGTCAGGAGCTGGGGGGGAGCCATGTCTCCCTCACTTTGTTCTCGTAGCTCAGGTAATTTCATAGTGCGCATATGATCCCGCTTCTTAGCTAGGTTGTTCTGAAAATAATGATGATAAGACTATATCAAGTTTTCTAAATGTTAAAGTTCTAACATACTTAACTATGCTCTATGGCACAAAGGGGCTAGCTTGATCATGTTGATCAAAGCTTGATTTGGAGAATTTTCAGAAGCACCATTTAAATTAGAGTTTTAGTTTTTAATTCATTCATGATAGTATATCATTTTACTGTGTCTAAGACTAAGTGTTCCCTTATTCATTTCCATCAGTGTATTCTACATAGAGTATCTGCTCAAATGTGGTTATAAACATGTTCACAGACCAGTGGATCTGTATGCTTCCAGTTATCATTCTCAAACTCCCTAGGGAGTATACAACCGAAGCTGCCGAGAAGGTTTTTACATCCACCTCACATATCAGGTACTCATTCCCTGCTGGGCGAACAGAGGCACATTTGAACTAAGTCACTTGCCCAGCGTGAAATCACACATTTTGACACTTGTGTTTCGGGTGTATGGACATATTCGTGTTTCCATCATCTGGTCAACTACCATCGGATGAGTGGGTTCTTTCGAGTGCACAGGGTGAATGTACTGTACACTAGGGGTGGTGACAACACCGAACAGACCTGTAAACATTGTTGGTCCCAAGGCTGAATAACAACCTGGTCACTAGTGGAATACGATCTCGGCACATAGCGCTACACGTTAGACTGCTTGACCACTCCACCCCATCTAAAAAAATCAGCTTGGGTCAAAGACTAGCTTATGTTCAAATAGTTAAATAAATACTTCCTGAGGACCTCTACAAAATCAGCCTTTTTGACACATTTTAGCAAAATAATACATCTAGAGTTGTGATTAATCCAAAACATGTGTTGATATGAAAAAAGACTTGTTCTCATTCATGTGAACATCTGATACAATTTCTGAATGTTTTGCTTATTATATAAATCATGCAGATCATGTAGGTTAAAAGGGCCCTTATCATACCTTTTCCTAAAGCTGAATAAAAATTACTCTTAGTTTAATATCTATTTTTAAGGCAACTCAAGCACTGTGTCGTTTAAAACAACAGGCTCCACAATTGTCCGCTCATTGGTCTGAAGCCAAGTTTGTAGGCTCCCTGAGGCTATATCTGGTGATTACGCTGGCTAATTAAAATGGCGCTGGCGACACAACTAAGAGTTAGTTTATTGTTGCCCTTTAATAGAAAAAAACAAAAACAAACTGTTTTGGCCTGAACACACCTAATTGTGGAGGCAGCTTAAATTTGTTAAACCAAAAACATAATGTCAGAAGATATGACTCATAACAGAATGTTGTTTAATGTCCCAGTCAGCAATATTCCATCTATATTGTGCTGGCCTGTAGATAATTGAGTCTGGGGGAGGCAAACTAGTGGTTGACAGCATGAACAACAATAGCTGCTGTGTATCAACACCAACAGCAAGTCACCCTCTGTAACAACCTGCTCCTCAGTCAGCTCTTTAAACAACAAAAAGCAACCAAACAACAAGCAAAACAACTAAATCAATGATACAAACTATGACTCCAGCCACCTATCTGAAGCCCTGTTCAAGTAAAATATCTTTCAGTCAAGTAATCTCAGCTAATGATAGCCAACAAAATCTATAGAAGAACTGATAAGAAAACCAGGAGCAGGTTGATGTGTATCACAATGATATACTGTAGTGTATCAACATATATCACAGTAAATCTGAGACCACCATATGTGAACAACACAATCTACAATGCAGTAGAATGAGGACTACAACTTCCAGACAGTCGTACCACCTAATTACAACACATATCTTTAAGAAAGAAACAGTCCAGGTGGTTGGTTCTCAAGGATTAATCTAAGTCTCTGATACCATTATCTACGCCCACAGTAGACACTTTGTGTTCAATCTACAGGATACACCCACACCATTTTAAGTTCTTGTTACATGAGCATATATAACATACATGTACTACTACATATGACACATACCATATTGTTCCCAGCTAGTCAAATGAAACCTATGTGGTCATTGTACTATGTATCAGGGACTATGGCCTGATTAACTTTTTCAAAAAAATGATATCCTGATACAATCTTCCATGACAAGGTGACAGCTTTCAAATGAGGAAAATCCTATACAAGTAATGGCCGACAGAGCAAGATTACACACAATGACTGGATTTGATAACTGAGGTTTTAAAACAATGAAAAAATAGTTGTGCAGTTGTGCATAGTCACCAATGTCTCCAGTACATGGGTTATCAATAATACTTCCTTAGATGTAGGCTATAAGTGCACACAAAACAGACAAGTCAACAGCTGACATGATTAACATAATATATATCTGATCAAAATATACAGTCAATTTCAAAATAAACAATTGCTGGAATTTTTTAATTTTTATTCCATCGAAACTAACTATATTAATGTAATAATTCTGATTATCCATTTCATATTTAAAGTAAATATTTCAGATTATCAATATATATTATTTTTACCGAAAAAGATTAAGAAGAAGATGAGCATTTGCATTTAAGGCCTCAATCAGGCCCATATTCAAAGACAAAATAATAAGTAGAGATCATACAAAAATTGTTAATAACAAACAACATGCAAGTAAATGCATTACAAACTACGTTTTTTTCTTCTTACATTTAACATAGATAATGTGAAAAACCTTTCAATAAATTTTCATTTTTATAACACATCACTTTTTCATAAATACTCAAGCTAGGATGTTTCCAAACATTTACAGACAGATGTAATTTTCTCAAATCATCATATGAACAATTTAATTGAAAGGGGAATTTTGTCCTGTATGCAATTATTGCAAGCTGGACATATTCTAAGTGATTTTTCTATAGCTAACTATATACTAAATTGTTAGATAGGCATTTTCATAGAAGTTGACGTTTGACAAAATAGACAAAATATTTATGGATAACAACTTGTCTATTACACGTCATAGTGACATTTCATTGCCCTTGCTTGACAATAGTATAAGGATCCATACTGAAACATTGCAATTACTATATACTAAAGAAGGTGTTATCCATAATTGTTTTGTCTATTTTGCAAAATATCTTCCTTTAGTTGTTTTTATATGAGCAGTATTTACCTATGTGTATATCCCTACCCTGCCAGCAATGTCAAAGCATTACCTGTGTCCAGCTGCTATGCCTGGGTTTATCACTTAATTACCAGCAGGCTTCTCCGCTAAAGGCTGTATCTTGACTGAGGTCATCTGACGAGGCTGGCTAATATACACCTTATGTGATTTATATTCAATACAAACTGTCCCACTGGCCTCAATAGTAAACAGTTGGGATTTTTGCATGAAACTTTATGACAAGTATTTAGCTGGCCTCCAGGACAGTTTGATCACAATCAGTTAATTAAAGCACTTATGTCTGTTTTAAATGAATAATGCGGCGAGCTGTATGAAAGCTTCTGGGGCCAATGATATTTTTGCATCTAATGTTTTCTTGAGCATATTAAACTTTTCAAGTTTCATACTCCCGAAAGTATAAATTCTTTATATTACAAGAGTCATCAGAAGATGACAAATCACTCCGTCCCCCACAATAGCAAAAGGCACCACTTCAGTCCCTGGTTTATATATGTACTAAGTTTGGACAAAACATCATTTACAGTTTTCGAGTTATGCTTTGGAAATGAAATATGGATGGACAGACAGGCCAATGATGACTATATCCCCCAAATTATATGCTAGGGAACAATAACCTTATTATTACTCTTCATTGCAACACTTCACATTCATTTGATTTACAACAATTTGGATTAAATCTAGACACTAAGCAGCTGCCATATATTTTAGTGAAAAGATGTGACACTCGTCCCAAAAGTACTTGTTAACATTGTATTAGATACAGGAGTACTTTCAGCATTATGGCTCAATAGAATTGTCAAACCTATTCATAACACGGATGATCCAAGGGGGAAAGATACACTAATAACCTTTTTCAGGTGCCTTGGAAAATTGTTCACTATATTTTGTACAATAATGTCTATATTTATTATGGAAAATGAACACTTACCAGAAAAACAACTGGTTTCAGAAAACCTTTCTCCACAATTGATCACACAAATATACTTTATGGTATTACTGAAGCACTTAAAGCATGCAAAACAAAGTCATATTGTACATATATAGATTTTCCAACGCTTTTGACAGTGTATGGAGAATTGGACTCAGAATATATTGATTAGCTATGGAATACATGGAAAATGTCTCAAGTAATTATGAATATGAATAATGGTACAAAGACTCACAATCTTAATAATAATGAGATTTCCAACTTCCTTCCTTGCTGTATTGATGCATAAAGGCAAGGTGATAGCTTATCTCCCTTGCTTTTCTCTTTGTTTCTGAATGTATAAAGATTTTTGTACGGCAAGAAATGCAGCAGGTTTTTATTTACTAATTGTGACTGAGCGTAAAATGCTGTTATATGTTTGATTCTACTTCTGTGTGCAGATGATACTATCCTGATGTCAGACAATTTAACTGATCTCCAGTATGTGAGGAATATATTTACTGAGTACTGTAAACAAAACAGATTGGTTATATATTCAAATAAACTAAATCACTCATATTTAATGGTTCTAAGGAAGATTACAAGCTGTGTGATACAGTTCTACAGGGATAAAAGTCGGCACTAGTCCTATTGTCCTTGCCAAACTGCTCCTTGCCACTGTCTTGAAAAAAAAACAGGCTTCAGTAGGAACTATATCACATGGTGCCATTGTCCGACCGACCAATCACTGGCCTGACATAATATATATTAATACACACATTCCAGAAAAAACATGCAATGTGAGAAATGAGTATAGTTTTTTTGACAAAGAATTAAAGAACAACATTATGTCATAAAGAGGTTTATCGCACTTTTGCATTTTGGGCTGGCAAAAATCCTATTTTTGGAATAAACACTCTCTATTTAGCTTACAAAGGCTCACTAAATACAATGTTTATTTCCAATACAAGATATTTACCATCCCAAAAACACACTTG